TTTACAAAAACCTTTTAAACATGCTGAATGTTGCATTTGATCCCGCAGAGACAAAGGTAAAAAGGTTACTGGTCTCAGACTGTTTGAACCCAGGAACATGAGTAAAGTGATTTATACCCCTGGATTAACCAGACCCTGGGTTATGGACTTCCACTGTGAGCTGGAAAAAGCAGCAGCATGCAGTAAAGTCACTGACTCATAAGAGAGGGTTTGAGATGGATGGAGTTTGGACCCTGGTTGAACCACTGAATAAAAAAAAAGATGACATACTGCCTTATTTATCCATATGTTGCAAATTATGGCATCTGTTTACAATCTATTTTATTTACTTTGGTGATGCTTGAGCTGGGTTGATTAACATTTTCTGTAGTGTTTGTTGTCTTCTTGAGCGGGATTTGATTGGCACTCGGTGATGGCTGTTTGAAGTGAGCGTAGCGTTGGCTTTGAAGCTTGGGGGATGAAAGCAGAGCATCCAGATATGACTCGAGGATAATCTAGAAATGAATTTTGGCTGCCTCTGAAGGCGACCGACAGGCGACAAACATGTTACTAGTTGTTGATTAAATGTTACTTGAGATTCAGTGATGCAAGAACATAAAACAGAGATGAAAACTTCTAAATACACATCAGGAAATAAGTTAAATATGTTTTTTTTTTAATGCCAACAAGCTGTGGATGGTGGTGAGTGAGTAAAGAATTAGATATCTCTTCTTCTAATCCATCATGAGACACTCCTTTATTTATGAGCCATGCTGTTTGCAATTGTGATTTAATTAATGCTATTAATCACTAGCTGCCATCAGTATATCATGAAACATTAAATTCAGCAAAACATTTTCTGATGCTATTGCATCAAAATGTGTCAAAAATTGCGGTGTTATTGGAAAAACCTCAAACATATGTAATAAAGCCAGCCGGCACTGTTTGAAGACTGATCCAAAAAGTAACACTTTTCGCTTTTAAAGCTTTTAAAAAGCAGATTTGTCTGTCTGCTGTAGCCTGTCACAGGTAAAAGTAACTCAAGTCAATAGTTTAGTGACAGGAGAAATGCACTAATCTGTATTTAATATTCAATATACTTAAAAAAAATACATGTTCAATATAAAGTCCTCCTGGCAAGTGGGATAAAATATTTGGCATTGACTTTTCTCTCTAAGTTAATCTTATAAACTAAATGTTTTGCATGTTAATCCTTTTCCATAAAGAATCGAGTAAATGCAAGCTCTTTGACTTTGAATGTTTTTGAGTAGAATATTTTGCATGCAGTTGAGTCTTAAACTAGATAAATTGGAAACACTTGAGGAAAGCAAAAAAACTAATGAAATATAGTACTTCACAAAAACTTTGTAGTGTGTTCAGTATGTGTTTATGTATGTGGAAGAAATCTGTTGAAGTGAAAACCATGTGTCCGCGTGCTCCTTTTATCTTGAGAAAATTATCTTGTTTCTTGAAACATGGATTATCTGCTTTTAATTATTGGATTATTATTAATTATTTGATTATCTGAAGAAAAAAAACCCCTGAAAACTTGTTTATATTAGCTCATTAAAAGTTGGTGTTTTGGCAAAATACTGTTATGATTATGTTTTTAAATTTTAAAAGTTCATCAAAATCTTCACTCACAAATCTTTAAAATTTAAAGAATTACATTTAAAATATGTCTGAAACATAAACATAAATCATACTGTGGATAACAGACTAAAATAAAATTTGATTCTTAAAAACAGACAGAGGTGAAGTTTTCTGTCAAACCGCAGTGCATTAATTTTCATGAAAACTTACAGCAGTGAGTTCTTTTCAGATTGTCACCAACACTGACATCTACTGGCTAAAACTGATCACATCGTCTTCATATTCAACTCACCCTTATCTGTGTTTTTTTTTTTTTTTTTTAATTCTACAAGCAGAAGCTCAGTCGCTGCAGGAACCCGTATTTGTATTTGTTCAGAAGATAGAAAGAATGTTGCTATGAGTTTTTACCCTCAACCTGTTAGACAAACTCATAAAGTCCTTAGGGGATTCCAGTGACCTCTCTTATATCAATCAGGGGAAGTTTAAATTATCATGGGTTTGAGTTGGTTTTCATTAATTTAGTCATTCTGGTATGTGATAGATGAGAAGAGATGTTACTACTGTATAGTAGGCTAACAACAAAAAAAGAAATATCAGAGGTGCTTGTATATCAAATAATAAACAAAGAAAACAATTAAAAATGAAATTAGGTGAAAATAGGTTTGGTGAAGTAGGCAGTGTCTTTTTGCTGCCAGCTGTGCCAGTTGCAAAGGAAGCACCTATGGTTTTGGCAATGTTCCCATAACTCAACCACACTGCTGTGTTTCTGCGAAATCCTGCACACGTAAAATTAAACCAAACTGCAAAACATTTCATAGCCCAGCTCTGTATTCACAACCAGGAGGGTAAGGCAGTACAAATTGCTTTACCCTCTATTTTGCTTACGAATATACGACTCACCTGCCTGCCTTGTTGTTTTGATGCATAACAATAAACATAGTAAGAGAAAATTTAAATAAAAAGATAGTAAGCATGTACTGCAAGTCAAGAAGCGTCAAGAGAAAACTGACAATAAAATCTGAAAACATATTATAAAAATATATATAACAAAAAACAGTTTTGTGCAATAATGTGCTAAATATTGACCACTGAATGTACAAAAGTTCACAGTGTGAGGTATAAAGAATTTTTGCAATGTGCAACCTAATAATCCCAAAAGATGTGCAAGATGTGTAGAAGTGTGCCATCATTTCCTGGCAGGTTGAACTTCTTCAGCTGCTGCATGAAGGATTAAGGTACCCAGGAAATAGTGTGGGAGGGGCTGGATTCTTCGTGAAATCCTCTACCACGTCCACTGACAAATTCCTTGTATGCAAAAACTTGGCAATAAACCTGATTGTGATTTGGATTTGATATTTGTGTAACATCAGCCTAGAATCAATAGCAAAAATTCAAAATAACAGGGTATCCTTGTCATGATTACAGCAAGTCTTTTAACAAATGATTGTCCACAACCATCCTTGTGACAAAGATGTTTACATTCAGATTATATAAAAAACTTTATATATAATATGCACAAAACTGTTTCAAGGAAAATACTGATCTTGTGGTTGTAATATTAACATTATAGGATACTGTATATGACACATAAATATGAATCTGAATGTGGTGGAAAAAGTAAAAGTAGAAATACTATAATTTAAAAACACTGTGTTGCAAGTAAAAGCCATGCATTCAAGTATGAGCATCAGCTAAATGACCTTTAAAGGTAAAAGTACTCATTATGCAGCAGAACATATTATTATTGTGGTTGCATTGACACTTCAGCAGCATTTTGATTTTAACCAGTGGAGGTAAAACTATTAAACTACTTCATATAGCCTACTGTAGCAGATAATTTTAAAACTGGAGCAAAGTACCTTAGAGCTGTTGGCTATTTAAGTGGGCTATAGTCATTGGGTAAATGTATTTAGTTACATTCCACCACTAAAATCAGTTTTGTCTTCTTACACATGAATGGTGGTCAGTAAGGAGGTCACAGTAGGCGACATTGTTTTTCACTGAAATTCATCTTGATGCTTTTGGACACATTCCACTCAAATAATTCAACAGCAGCTGTCAGAGCCAAACAATCACATTAACAAGCTTTGGCAAGTGAGATACACTGAGAACTGAAATAATGATACTATATAGCTCAGAGTGACATTATACTATAGTTAAAAAGGAAGTCACATTTTTTGGAAAAGCTTTGTAGTAGGCAACCCGCAGGTTGTGAATGACTTTCATCATATAGCCTAGAGGTCAACGATGAGCTTTATGAGCTCATCCTTTCCTCTTGTCCTCTACTGTACATGTGATGTAACATTACAGCTGCTAAGATGTCTCCTCTGTTCCGGGACAGTTTGTAAAAACTGTACGCTAGTATGAGGTTTCCGGTAATTGTTCAGAAAGCTGATCTCCAGTCAGCTGTTAAAGGGACTTGTCCACCCCACTGATGATGCGGTAGTTGCGCGCTCCCGGGGGTAAACTGCGCCTGCGTCGAGGTCAAACAGGCAATACCAGAGAGAATGCTGCAAAGCGAGATATTTAACTTTTTGATATTTCCGTTTTCGGGTGCAATAACTTGTGGCAGAGGATGAAGGGGTGGAAACGATTACCCAGCCCCCAGCCATAATTGTTCCTTAACTGAGAAAGAAATTGTCTAGCTATTTGTTGCTAGGCTGCTCAAGCGTTGGCTCAAATTCTGCTTTGCTTCTGTTAACACTATATGAATTTTGAATACATCATCATTTTGTTTTATTTTTTAATGAAACTCTAGCCCTACTTTTTGATCTGAAGTGAAATGTTATCCACTTGGTAGTGCTATTACTGTAAAAGTTGCCACCAATATATGTCCTGCATTCAAGTAAAAGTAGGCCTACAGAAGGATAATCACATAAATATAATGTAGGCTAATTCAGATAAGCTATCAAATATAAAAATGCTCATTATGCAAAGTGACCAGTTTCATTCATTATATCATTGGATTATTATTGTTATGCATGAATGTCTAAGCAGCATTTTAAAGTTGCAGTTGGTCAAGAAGGAGGTGATTTTACCCCGGCTACCTTTTATACTAATAGGGATTTAGATGCATTCACAACAGTGAATAAGCTGATTATGTATTTTGTATGACAAAAAGTGATATTCCACAAAGCAGGCAGTAACTACAGCTGCCCTATGTAGTGAGTGCAATGTCCAATATTTCCCTCTGAAATTAAGTGATGTATAATGTAGGATAAAATGCAAATACTCGAGTAAAATACGAGCACCAGAGACTTTGTTACTTCACACCACTAATTTATTAAGAAGCCTACACAAATGACTTTACTATACTTGTGTGGGAATAGTGTGGGACAGCCTACCCTCGTGCCCCGCTGATGCCACTCAGGCTGGAATGCTGAAATAGCGCGTGAACTATCTTGCCGTTTGATTGAATGCTGTATCTTTGATGGTGACAAGCGGCTGCTGCTGTTGCTTGCGTGACTTGTAACGTACGTGACGCCGCACCATCTCCCTCCTCTCTCCTCCCTTTGTGCAGTTGACAAGCCCCTTCGCGAGCAGGACTGTAACACAGAGCGGTACGTTATACATATGTTACTGAAATACAAGAAAGCTGACATTTTATTTACTGAACAACTCTGCCACTGCTATCAGCCGGCGGATTGTGACCTCCGGAGCCCGGAGATGTCCGTCTCATTCATTGATTTTTAACTGGAGTCGCGTGCAGCTCGACGTGCAGCAGAGATGCTAGGCCTGTGAACTGCTGTTAGCTTGGTGGCTAATGTCGGTCATTTGACAGTGCAGGTACCAGTGGTGTGCAGGTATTTAGCTAGCTAGAAATAAAGAAGCTTATCTAACTTACGCTTTTACTCTCGTGACACAGTGACTTACGGGCTCCCTGCCGGCCAACCTGCCATATGGTTAACTTACTGGAGACACTTGCCCGCTCTCCACCTTGATAGCTAGCTAACGTTAATGCTAATCTTTTAGCAGGCTAGGGCAGGGAGATGCTGCTTTCACTGCTTTCATAAACCTCTTTGTCTGAGTCAAATGGCCGTTGCTGTAACTTATTCACTCCTAGAAGGAGACTAGACTTTTCAAATCAATTGTAGGTCGGACTCACAACTCAATTTCCCTGATTTAGTCTAAGGTGATGCTGATGGGTGAAGGGCAGTGACATCCCAAGTTGAGATGCTAAGTCAAGTGCAACATTTCATGATTTATCCTCATCAGGCTATGGGATTGGTGCCTTCTTATTTTTGTAAATGTATTTGTTGTAAAGATATATCTTTCTTTAACCTAAAGTATTTAAGGTTTACACAGGACACCCCAGTGACAAGACTTTGCAGGGTATCACATATGTTAGCACAGGGTTAATAGCTTAGTGTGTATGGTTTTTTTTTGTGTATGTGTTAACAGGCACTGCATATATGACATTAGTCCACTTCCTGTCCAAGTGCTTTTTCAATGACCACAGTGTGATGACTGGTTTCAGAGGGCTGCCCATGCGGGATATCCTGAATGATTCAGGGGAGCTAGAGCTGGACATGGGCCTTAAAACATGCCAGCGATAGACAGACATTTATTGTGTCAGAGCCAGTGCCGGGTGCTGAGAAACATCTGGGGCCCAAACATGCACAGGCGTGCAATGCTGTAAATGTGTTAGTCATATTATAATTGGAGTAAAAGGGAGCAGTTGTTTATAAAAGGTGAGGCTTCCCATAAACTTGATTGATCGAGCTTGAAGGAGATAAGTGGACATGTTGTACTAGTAATGCACTGAAGTAATCTCCCTGTGTTGCTTTCAGACTTTACAATATTAAACAGATGTGCTTTTTGACAAATGTAATTGGAGAAAAAATGCTCAATGTTCTGTTGTGTTATGTTATGTTAAACCACATTTTATCATACAGAAATATACATGAGAATACTGTAGAATAGTTGCAGTTCTTGTGACTCAAAAAATGTTCATTAAGAAATTGTAAACCCTGACGTTGCTATTCACTTGGTGAACTGCTCAAATTCCTGTTCTATCTACAACCAATATGCACATGTATGTTATCAATAGGCCTGTGCAACTTCTGTACCTTGATAACTGTTGTGCTATTGAAAAATGAAATCTACATGTGTTCTATTGTGGAAACAGACACGTCTTGCACAACTGGCTGTTCAGGAAAATGAAGGACAAAGCTGTGCACAGAGGGTTGAGAGCAGCCAATCCAGAGGGTTGGCAAAGAGTCTGCTTTGTGCTACAGTCTGTGGCCTTCATTGTTCTTTCTGAACCTGGCTTCTTCCACTTTGAAACATCAAGTTTGAATGACTATAATGTCAAAATCTAAAATGTCAAGTAGTTTGAAACAAAATGGGGATCGGGTAAGGAATCAGTGAATGTATTGACAATGTACTGGCAAACAGGATCCAGAATGAACCTTTTGGTCTACCGGCCAGTGGCTGGTAAACAAAAATAATTTACCGGGCAAAATATTTTTCTATGGGAAATAAACCTCAATATGATATAATGTACAGTGATAAAGTGTCTTTTGGAAGCATAGAGTACTTTTACTTTTTATACTCAAGGTATACAAACACATAATAATTATATTATATAGTTACTATGTTTTCCAACAAGTTAGGTTAGCACACCCACAGCCTAACTCTGCTGCATTACCGGCTGAGCCTCCTTTAAGGAACGTGACCTTTTGGGTAACCTGGGAATGTGTCTAGACTGGCAGGTTTGTTGTGGGAAGAGAGTGTCTGTCCCGGTGTGTGAGAGAGGTATCGGCACGATGCCACAGTCACAGAAATGTTTGTGTTTGCTGAAATTAACAGCTAATGACAAAGTGTGATAGCTGCGTACAAGCTGGCCTCTGTTCTGACGGGAATGCAAGTTTCAATGAGTGTGTGTGTGTGTGCAAGTGTTTAGCTCATGTAAGCCCATAACTTCATCAGATTTGTTCCATTGCTATCCATCAGTGACCTCCAGTTGGTTGCACTTTCTCTCCCCACACACATCACATCTGATCTGTCAGTTTACTTTTCTGCTTCAGTGGAGTTTACTGTGTCTTTCCCTCTGCTGTGTTACTGTGGGCTCTGGCTGTCCTAAAGCTGTAACACAGAGGGAAGACAGCAGGGATGTTATTTCCAGAGAGACTGTTGTAATTCTTTGTATTTTCTGACTTGTTCTTAGTCACAGCCTTGATTATCCCTTTCTCTTTGCAGATAATGGCTGTACCTCCCACCTACGTTGACCTTGGAAAGTCTGCCAAGGATGTTTTTACCAAGGGATATGGTAAGCACAGAGCAGCAACCATACTCCCTTATTTCATCAACATTTCAGCAGTATGATGAAGAGGGAAAGGCTTTAAATCATCATTAAACACTTGATAAAGCTCCTCAAGAGCCACAGAAGACATTATACAACTATTTACATAGGCCTGATGTGTAAAATCTGCGTGGTACACCTTTTTAGTGGAGGATACTTGCATGCTATTGTGTAGAATTTTTAAACCTCAATATGTCATGGGATTGCAAAACCCAGGTAAAACATAAAAGTTCTGGTGCCATGATGGAGACCATTGATAGCCTCTACTACTTCACTAGAGTAATACCTTGTTAGCACTAATGTTTCTGTAAATCAAGACATAAACTGTGAGGCATTTTATCGCATTAGCTTCGTTCTTTTAAGTTTTTCTCAGTTGCTTCATCAAAGAGGGCAGCTGTGGTAGAATTAGTTTCTAGTTTTATTTCCTTACCATTCTATTTACTATCATTTAAATACCTCATGCCAATGGAACAAATACTTAAATGTTTATCACTCAAGGACATTTCTTGCAACATTCGATGCTACTCTTTCACTCAGGGAATGAAAGCAACTGATTCAAACCAGTTCATGTACTGTTTATAGCTTACCGCTAGCTGAACACATGTTGAGGAGTAGTACAGAGCAGTTAAAGTGAATGTCGTTGGGTGTGTTTTGTGTATACACACAGCTTTGCTCCAAGGGTTACAGAATGATGTCCTTCATCTAGCATGAAGGCTGAATCACAAGCTCGCCAGTGACTGTAATTTATTACCGTGGCTTTAACTGCAGGTTTGTTAGGTGGTGGTCACATGGAACATTTGGATCACCTTCACAAAAAAGCTTTAAAACTAAGAGGAGTTGAGTAGTTGTGACGATTGTTCGTTCAGTGAGAACTGCAGCTTAGGATGAAGAGAGACAGTGTTAAGTGAAGGGGAGGCTGGGACGAGAGAGTACCAGGCCAGAAAGTACATGAACATGGAGGTCTAATGCTGGGTACAGCCAGGAATGGGGCTTTAGAGTTGAGCCAGAATCTGTTTAACCAACCCTCTAGCTATTATTCATAACTGACAGCACTAATGTTCTCACAGAATCTACATCAAATCAATACACACGTTCAGTCAGTGGATGACTTTAAATTTACTCTGGAGGCTGATTAATGGGTATCTCACAGACACTAATCAATTACTTGATTTAATGTGATAAATAGAATTAGAAAAAAATATAATTTTGCATGGTTAGGACTAATAGTTTTGGCATTAAAGTAGTATTTGTTTTTAAGAACTATCCCATTTTTGCCACTTTGATAATAAAATGTCTGATCCTTATTGCCATCCCATCATCATTTTGATTTTTTTATTTAATGCTGTGTGTTTCAGGCTTTGGGCTCATCAAGCTGGACTTGAAAACAAAGTCTGAGAATGGACTGGTAAGTCGTCACCAGTCACGATCACTTTCTCAGAGCTTTGTCAGAGCTACCACTCCAGCTGTCCTATCATAGCTTAAGAGGCTCCTGGCTGATAATTAAGTGGCTGTTTATCTGATCTCCTAAATGCTGCTAGGCCCCCTGGCCTCTGCTGCCTAATTGATGTGATCTTTATTTTTTAATGGTGTTTGAGAAAATGCTGTGTCAAAACAATCAAATACATGGACGTCTCAGTCTACTTAAGGTTTAATTTCAATTCATTTCTTGACTTTGTAAACTTTCAAACCCTTTCAGAATTTTAGATGAAGTTTATGCTTTAGAGTTGGAAACACCAAATCTAGGTTTTCAATTTTTGTTCATTTGTCAGCTGAATTTTTAAGAAATGTGTAGCATGGTAACATACCTGGTTGGTCAGTAGGAATCTGATACAAATACTATCACCCGCAGGAGTTCACCAGCACAGGCTCAGCCAACACTGAGACCAGCAAGGTCGCTGGATCCCTGGAGACCAAGTACAAGTGGGCGGAGCACGGCTTGACCTTCACAGAGAAGTGGAACACCGACAACACCCTGGGGACTGAGATCACCCTTGAAGACCAGGTTGGCTTAATAAATGTGTATTTGGGTTGCTTTTTGTAGTAACATATATTGCCTATATTCATTAAGGCCTGTCACTCAAGTAGTGTGTGTAATTTTCCTTGTAAATTGGACTGTAGTTTCAAGTAATGGTAAGTTTAATTAAACTTTCTTACCTTTTCCACAGTTGGCTAAAGGGCTGAAGCTGACGTTTGATTCCTCCTTCTCGCCAAACACTGGGTAAGAACTGCTGAGTGAGAAAGTATTTCTTCATGTGCTTTTAGAGCTACAGTGAAAAGGTACAAAAAGTTCATCGCTAAATATAATTTAAATGGCCTCATTTTACTTTTCCTGGGTCATTTTTTGCTCTTTGCCAATGTGAACAGGTAGCTGCATGTACATGAGGCAAAGACACGGGCAGAGACAGATGTTCAAAAAAAAAAAAAGTTTACTATTTAGCTAGCATACCTGATAAATACTTGATCAAGAAAGCTACCTGACAGTTTTCTAAAAAATGTTAAATTTTTACCTGCCAATTCAGTACTCTATAGTTACAAGGTAAAACTTGGATACACAAAAAATATTTAGCTAACATACATTAAGGTAAAATGAGTCTGTTTAAAATCAAAGCAGTGGTGAGGTACAGCGGTTAAATGCACAACTGCTGACTAACTTTAGCTGCTACAGTGTGGGTAATGGTGCCAGTTGAAGTCATGAAGGAACCCTGCTCTTAAAAGTGTGTAAATAAATAAAGGCCCATTGCAAGTAGCACTAGTATTAAGCCCCTTTTCCACTGCACAGTACCAGCTCGACTCGGCTCACCTTTGTTTGGTTTTCCATTGCGGAAAAGTTGTACCTGTACCTGCTTCCAGGTACTTTTTTTTCATATCACCTCCATCGAGGTTCCAAGCGAGCTGAGGGATACTAAAATGTGACGTGAAAACACAGCAGACCGCTGATTGTTCAGAGAGAATATTCACTATTCACTGCATCATCATTGCGTGTGCCAGACAGAGGCCAGCAACATAAAGTTTTATATTTTACAGTTTTCGTATGTAATTTCATCACTAAATCCACTTCTGAGAAGTTTTGAGGTGAGAAATCAGCTGTGTAGATTTCGAATATTGACAGTTTTAAGAGTAAAAGTGATGGTGAAACAAAAATGTGCTTGAAAGTTTTCGGAGTTGAGGAGCTCCGCAAGTGGCGGCGGGAGAAGCCTGCGCCAACCCGCGGGAGGAGCTGGCAAGGCCGGCCAGCCGCCCGCTCACAGAGCCCTCTGCTCCCACCGTCACACAGACCGCTGCAGCAACAATGGCAGAGGAAAACACAGCTGGAAGGTTTTCATACCGCTTATCTGTCTTTACATTCTGAGTAATGTTGAAACTTTTTAACTTAAATCAAGAGAAAGCTGTGTGGATCGCTGGTGTGTGTGTCGCATCGAACCTTATGTTGCGGCAGTTGTGTGTGGCGTCGCTATGACGACCAGCTACTTTGAGGGGTACTGTCTCTGGGTACTGTCTGCAATGGAAAACGGAGCACGGCCAAGTCGAGTTGAGGCGAGGCGAGTTGAGCTGGTACTGGAAATGGAAAAGCGACATTTCTGTCACACTGTCTCTAAAAATGGCTCTTATGTGTGACTTAATGGTCAGTCTCTAGCCCTGATAAACCGCACTGTCACAGCAGTGAGATGTTTCTACCTTGGAAGTGTTTGCTTTTGACATTAACAACCTGCTCTCTCTCCCCACAAATCCTGCCAGCAAGAAGAGCGGCAAGGTCAAGACAGGCTACAAGTGCGACCACATCAACCTTGGCTGTGACGTCAACTACGACATCAATGGTACAGCCGTCCACGGTGCAGCAGTGGTGGGCTACGAGGGCTGGCTGGCCGGCTACCAGATGACCTTCGAGGCTGGCAGGAACAGGGTCACCCAGAGCAACTTTGCGGTTGGATACAAGACTGACGAGTTCCAGCTCCATACGAATGTGTAAGAGTACATGAAGCAGCACATGGTCATGAGTACTATGCTAGCATACACACTTCAGAAACACACATACAATTCTAATGTATCACTGAACCAATGTGGCTTCTCCTCATCTTTGTATATTATTTGTTAGAATAACATTATAAATAGTCATGGCATACAATAATCATATAAGTGCTGTTAAGTTAAGCTAGTAAGGAAAGTGAAAGTATACTGCCCTGATTTTGAATCTAAAGTTGAGCTAGTGGGGAAAAGACATCAGGAAAAGCAGCTATGTTTCTAAATAAGCATGTATACTTAGTTTTCAGTTTGATTCTAAGCTAACTATGCATAAAACCATACATTCTGATATTAGGTTAGTGTTTGTTTCCTGTGGTACTTGAACGTAAGTCACAGGCTAAAGGTTTTAGCAACAAGTGAAACAACGGAGTCCAGACAACAAGTGTTGTAGTACTCGAGACCGGTCTTGGTCTCAACTGGTCTCTCTCCCACAAATCGACATTAAAACACCCACATACAAACACTAATAGCTGAAATCAATGTTAGCATCTTTATTCAACACTGCTTTTCCATGCTTATGATCGCGGGGAGGGGGGACAGTCGCTAACGGGAAAAACACATGTTTAATTAGGGTTATTGGTTGCATTCAAAGCAGTATGTTTTCCATCCAGTCAAAGTTAGGATGTTAACAAATAAATCAGAAAATGCAAAAGTAATTTATTCCCAAAGTTATGGCCTTACATTTTCGCCTCAGCTCGTTTGGAACCTCGACGGAGGTGATACAAAAAAAGTACAGGTACAACTTTTTCACAATGGAAAACCAAACAAAGGTGAGTCGAGTCCCACAAACCACTTTTTGATGGCCTTGGTCTCATCTTGAACTCGATTGCATTTGTACTCGGTCTCGGGACATTGAGGACTCTGGATTTTATTTCAAGACAGGTCAAGACCAACTTTGGGAATAAATTGCTTTTGCATTTTCTGATTTATTTGTTAAAATCCTATCTTTGACTGGATGGAAAACACATTGCTTTGAATGCAACCAATAACCCTAATTAAACATGTGGTTTTCCCCGTTAACGACTGTCCCCCCTCCCCGCGATCTTAAGCATGGAAAAGCAGTGTTGAATAAAGATGCTTACGTAGATTTCAGCTATTAGTGTTTGTATGTGGGTGTTTTAATAGGAATGTGGATCTTTCAGATCAATTTGAGAAGTACCTATGATCACGTTTCACATTTTACCGTGTGTCATGTAATGTGGGGAACTGGTCTTGGTCTTGACTCGGTCTTGGTCTCGACTTGTCCTCAGCCCATAAAAGTTATGGTCTTGTCTTGGTCTCAAACTCTGGTCTTGGTGTTGACTTGGTCTCGGATTGGGCAGTCTTGACTACAACACTACAGACAACTGACTTTGACTAGAAACAAGTCTTCAAACTGTTTTTGTTTGTCTGACCACTTTGTCGCCCATTTGGCTGTCTGCAAGTTATTTTTACACCCAGGTGAAGGGATTTACTATATTGCAAGTGAGCTGAAGTGAGTGGTTGGCAGGCTTAAAGGGCCTCAGTGAAAAGGTGGAGTGAGGGCAGTGTTGGGGGGAGAGAGAGAACGAGAGAGGGAGGGACGGACAGGGCACAGCATTAGTCTTGTTTCCTGCTGTGCCCCTGGCCAAGCCTGTCTGTTTCAGTCTGCAGCTGAAGCGGTTATGTGAGGTCAGACAAAGTGTAATGTAGGCTTTACATCAGTGATAGTGCTCCCATTTGAGGAGCACTTTCACAGACACGCAAGACACCAAGTAAGGCATTCGCATTGTTTACAACACACAGAACAATAATTTATCCCTTTGAGGGGAAAATATCACCTATATGGAAACGGTATTTTGTTGCATTTACTTTTGTTTCAATATTCTATTTTCCCTCAGAAATGATGGAACTGAATTCGGTGGTTCCATCTACCAGAAGGTGAATGACCAGCTGGAGACAGCCGTCAACCTGGCCTGGACTGCCGGAAACAGCAACACCCGCTTTGGCATTGCTGCCAAGTATCAGATTGATCCTGATGCATCTTTCTCTGTGAGTAGTGTGTAACCTGTTGTTGTTGTTGTTGTTGTAGTAGTAGTAGTAGTAGTAGTATAGTAACATTCTGCATAATTACTTTATTGATCCCTGGTAGGAATTTGCAAGTAATTTATTATACAACAGAAGGCATATTTCCTGTATTATTATTAGTTTTTGTTTTTGTTGTTTATAAGCTAGAAAAGAAAAAGTCAAAAATAAAAATCAGACATTCTGGGTGTCAACGATATGAACGAAGACGCACCACGAAATAGTCATTATGTTGCTCCATTCAAATCTTTGCTGCATGCCTTGTTTGACCAACTTGGAAGGATGGATGCCAGTCTGTGTCAATACAAGACGTTTAGTGGGCCATGAGAGAAGCCTCATCCAAGCCAAAATGGCCAATGGGAGGAGTGTGTCTGCTACAGACAGGCTAATTTAGTCCTGTCAATCACATTAGTCCTTAAATCCCACTTGCAGCAGAGCCAGTTAGTGTGCATGGTTGTTTGTTAGTGGAATTATATGTATTTTCTAACAATTATTGCATGCCATTACACGTAACAAGTTTATAACGTGACCAACATGCTATTCTGAATTGAAACTGTCAGTGGTGGCACTTCTTTGAATTATAGCATCATCAGCATTCATTTATTATGAATCGCAGTTCAGGTGTTTTATGGAGCAGGTAATAAATTATCCAGAATTGGCCTGATGAAGTTATCTGTTAGTAATGTGGTGTTATCTGTGAGATTTTCATCTGTGGTTCCCACACAGGCCAAGGTGAACAACTCCAGCCTTGTTGGTCTGGGCTACACTCAGACTCTGAAGCCAGGTGAGTGAAATCTAATATAACTTCAAGTGCCTATATGGGCTGAAACACTGACCATGTTTACAAAGCTTTAGAGTACACCTTGATCAGATTATGGCTCCCTAGCAGAGTTTTGTGGCTCATTTTGATATACATAAACTATTTGAGAAAGCATGCTACTAATCATAATTCTACATTTATGCGCAGATGAAAATAGAACAGTTATTAGAAGAGTTGTGATGGCTTATGGCTTTATAGCCAACAAATACAATTTCTCAAAGGTGAACAACAGTAGCGACACTAGAGAAAGATGGGGTTTGAGGTTGAATGCTGGGGAGAAACTGAATTGATTGAGTTTAGAGGTTAGATCTTTGATAAAGCATAATAGTTCAGTGAGTAACCTGTGAAATCCAAATACTGTTTCATGCAGTTTGGAGGATTAAGTAGCAAACAAATTTATAAATTTAATTTACACCCTATAAATTGCCTTGTCTGTGCACTGCGTATCTTATCGTGTATGTGTATGGGTCTGTTTCTGCAGGCATCAAGCTGACACTCTCTGCACTCCTGGATGGCAAGAACATCAACGCTGGTGGCCACAAACTTGGTCTCGGCCTCGAGTTCCAGGCATAGGAGGGGGAGGCAGACGCTCCTCCAGTCCTCGTTCCACACACGCATTCCCCACAAAAAAAAAAAATCAAAATCCTTTTATTGATTAGCTAGTTCTCACAAAAATCCCTCTTTCCCCTAGACATGCTACAGCTGGAATCAAGACAGCATAAAGGTCAAATCGTTCTTGCAACGATCTACCACTTTTAAAGGACCACATTAAGGGAAAACTATATTTTCAAAATAAAGAGCCAAATTCAGAACAAAACTATAACCATGTAACAGAAAGTTTTTTTTCTTGAATTGTGTAGCTTGCAAGGGAAAGTAGCCTGGAGTGCATTCATGTTGGCCTCACTCTTTGTCACTTCACTACATTCATGCACAATGCTTTAATTTGTGTGTGTCTCTGCTTTCCAATGCAGATAAAAGGGAAAGTAAAAACTACATCAGCCCAAAACACAGAAAGGGCCCTACACAGTCAGCGTACAGTTGATTAGTTACACCACCAGATGGTGCTGTTGCATAGCGCCACTAAGCACTCCTTGGTCAAAAGTTGTAATAGTGAAATAACAGTTTTATTTTCACACTTCTGCACTGGAGAGCTCTTGTGTCTGTCTTGATATATTAGACATTGGGAAGGGTTAGTTGTCCCTGATGTAAGCAGCTGTCAGTAGCTCTAAGAGGCACGACACCCCAATGTGTACATTCTGTGTTTTCGTCTCACTTGTTATTTGTGTCTGTGCATTTGGTGTGAAACATGTCTTTTGTTACATATAGCAAAAAGAATATTATTTTATTGACAGTCTTGCATAGTTTTATCCACATGTGATAGCTTACGAAGGCAAAGACGTGGCAATTCTTCCTGGTCGAGCTAACGAAAGGAAACTTATCAGGCACTCTGAATGAAGAAAATGATGAAAATAAATAAATACAGTGGACAAGAAATGGTAGTCTTCCATAACTGGTTATGGGAATCATGCATAGTGTACTTGACAGTATTGTTGTTCCCTGAATTAAATAAAGAACATCTTGAACCAGTTTCTGATTGTATATTTCTTATGCAATTTGTCACATCACATCTTGTGATAATTACACCATACCGCAATTGCCCAGGCCTGAGGCCACCTGTTAAATTTGTCAAATTAAAGTCCAAAACCAAAAGATTTACAATGGCATGAAATAAACCCAGCAAATTTTAACATATTTTCTTGGCAAATGACTGGAAAGATAAGTGGATTGGATGTAAGGAGATCATTTGAATGTGTTTGAAGATATTTCAGAATTTCTGTCCTGTCCTGGGCCTTGGTCAAGAGGATTACAACATCACTACTTCCCACAAATCCTAAAGGGAAACCCCGTTGTTCAATGCAATGAGTTTGCAGTGTTTTTCTGAAGCACTATGCCCCCAAATCTAACACATACGTTATAACATTTGCATAAGATTTCTGTCAAGGAGTTGGACATCACTGGGGTGTAATTGACCCCAAACATAAGTACCGTCATTTGTATAACTGCCATGAAATAGTTCCTCTTTCGGTGTAATAACAATGCTTTATGGTAATTTCCATATTTTTGCACCTCTACCCAGGACCGTTTGTACCAAAATTACAGAGCTGGGGAGAGAGAGTAATATTCTGAGAAAACAGTCGTAAATTTACGAGAAAAAAACTGATATTATCTGAGATTAAAGTGGCAAAATTGTGAAGAAGAAAGAAATTATATTCTTTGAGATTAAAGTTGTACATTTATGAGAAACGTCATTAATTCATTCAGTCATCAATAACACAAGACAAGAGTGAGTCAGTGCAGACAGAGGAGAGTGAGCTTTCAGACAGATAGGCAGATATGGGGGATCGCATCAATGCCACTTGAAAGCATGTGTCACATCTTAATCATTTATAAATGTCTGCAGTTCTTCCCCAATTTTCTTTTATGATATTGGTCAGAAGAAGTGTCTCAAGATGTATCTTGGTGAAAGTAGCTCATGTTGTTATTAACGTATGTATGACCTGTTTTTAAGAGAATAGTGCCCTTAATAACAAATACACCTGAAAAATAGTGTTTTCTGATTTTTTTCTCACAAATTATGACCATTATAATCTCAGAAAATATTGGTTTTTTTTGTAAATGTGTAAGTTTTTTTTGTCTCGTATCGTAATCTCTGAGAATACCAACATTTTCTTTCTCTTAAATGTAGGCAATTCAATTTTTTTTTCTGGAAATAACACTCCCTTCCCGTTTAACCTACAATGACCCTAATGGTGTCATAGATTTGTGACCAATGGAAGGATAAACACTGTTCCAAATATTTGCTTTTTAAAGGTCAGAAGAAAGGTAAAAAAGAAAAATATTGATTTATTTTGTGATTATTATTATTCCACATACAGCAGTGGGGGTTGTGGTCCCCAAATAATGAGGCTGTCAAAGAATTATATAAATATTTTATTTATAGGCCTTAACCAGTTCATGAACAAGTACAGCAGGAATTTGAAGGGTGAATGACTCAGACCAGTCAGACCTCATTCTTTTTATATCTCAGACCCACACAAACATTCACTCACTCTCTTTCTCTCTCTCACACACGCGCACTGACATCTTGCACGTAGCCATGCTAAACCACGCCTCTTCAGTCAGTTACGCATCAACATGGCGACGTGCGGGAAGATGGTGCGAACCAGGAGAAATGTTTGTGCTCTTTTTGTGGTGGTTTTTCTCCAGCTGTTTGCCAGCGGCTGCCTGTCAGCTCCTCTTAACAACAATACGGAAAGTATGTTATACTACTGTTTGAGATTATGACTGTTTTAAACCAACCAACAGGACTGCTTGTTAGCTAGTCCGTGTAAGGTAACGTTAAGCTAGCTAACGTAGCTAGTGGTCTAGTACGTCAGGCTTTCAACCGCAGGTCAGGTGAGAGGGACGGTGACGATCCGTCGGTTTGGGCTGTACGTCATAAAATAGTATTTTAATTGAAGTACTTATCTAATAGATAAAACGTTGTTTTGTCTAGCTCCATAGTCTACAGAGACATTAAGTTAGGGTCATAACAAGCGAAACCGGAAACAGAAGTAATATTTTTCTGATCAAACCTCCAGCTCGACAAATTTACAAGCAGCGCAAACTTATATTTCATATAACATAACGTGATGTTTAGTTCGACCAGTTAACTTTAACATCTGTTATCTGCTAAACCATGTCAACGTTGCATTAGATAAGTTAGTCAGCTCTGTGGTTCCTCCCGGGGGATTCCTGAGCAACAGTGATTTGTGGTTGTCAGATAAATTGACTTGGTCCAGGTGTCCATGTCATATATCTGAGCTGTTAATTGACCCCCTGTCAGTCCAGTAACTCCACTGCTCATTAAACAAAAACCTTTTGAAGTTCACAGTCAAGGAACTGGAGACCACAGTAAAGTCTGTAGCATTGCTTTCAACGGTAGGCTCTGTCTTGCATAAATGGACTTTGACTGTCTGAAGTTTATTGGCTTAAATCTGTTGAGGTAAGGTCAGAGTTGTTGATTTCTTAGACTGTGCCCTTTCAAATGGACATTACATGTCATGTTACTGCATGTTTTGGCAGCTGTCAGGTTGCAGCATTGTGCAAATCTCTGGACTAGGCTGTATCTTGATCATAATATCACTGAAACAGCATATTTTTATAACACAAATATTAATGAATAGGCTATTTTCTCTGGAAATTGTTTACGTGAAATGTGTATCCAGAATGATCAAACGCATCATAAAATTTGTCAAAGTCTTGTGATCTGACTTTAAAAATGGAGCTCTTCCCTACAATATCCCCATGTAGCCTGGAATTAATTGGTTTAATCTGAATAAAACTGACCCAAGAGCCAAAAGAGTGCACATTTCTCAAGAGGCGAGGATGATCCCCCATTATGTGTTTGAGATGTGTGTTTTTATTATAAACCTACTTCAATATTAAAACATTTGTCAAGAATGACACAGCTCCTTAATCTTAAAGGCTGAATATCCTACATGCTGTTTCCTGCTGCTACAAAGATCTCCTGTTTAGTGATTATTTATGCTGGCCAGGGCCCATATGTATGAATAGTCCCTTTCTTCTCTGAGGGACGTCTTACCCCGTGCTTCAAGTCCCTAGTGTTCTCCTCCTGTCCCTTCCTAAGCAACTCCTCCTAGTCCCACAGGATGAAATAATGTTGACACTTGTTGCTTAAATGGTGTCATTGATTCAGGAAGGCAGGGCAGATGCATGAGTCTGAGTTCAGCTCTCATTTAAAGACTGATTTAGCTGTGTGATTCTGGAAAAATAAAAATTCCTTCGCTTTTTATTAAGGAACTGAAAGGTTATGTCATACTGCAACCTTTATAAACTTAATTAGGCTAACATGGATGTATATTCAACCAGCCTGTTAAAATATCTGTCGTAATGGAAATGTATTCAATACTGTGAACTACACCACATTAAAGGCTTTATAACAGTAGGGTAATACACAATAACACATCACATGGAGTCTTTAAACCATATGATCAAGTTATTCAACATATAAAGAAAACCGTTCAATCATATATTCTTGAATTCCTATAATGACATTTTACTCTATTACATTTATTTCACAGCTATATTTAGTAGTTACTGCCCAGATCAATATTTTAAAACATTTGGTCATCTTTATGAAATAACTATAAAAATAATAGTAATAAATCAGTACTAATAATCCAATAATGTATAAAAAAATACAACTCTAAATGGGGACAGTTTGCATAATGAGTATGTTTACTGTGATACTCTTGTGAAGGTTAGATGCTTTGATGGGTGGAGCCAGATTCAATCTCACAGTTGAAGCTTCGCAGCAAAACAAGGGTCATGCCATTTTGGCGATATGGGGTGCTCAACGTCGGATTTTACATAGAACTACCAGTTTTCTCCCATTAAGTTAATATATAGCCTGTTACAATATCATTTTCAACATATAATGCTGTAAATAAACAGGTTAAAAAAAGCTTATAATAAATGATTTTAAAGTGCGTGAATAAATCCAAAATTACCCTTAATGAAGGGGGCCAGTGCGCATTTGTAGGCATAGCGTGTGAGACGGAGCCCCAGCTTCACCGGTGTTGTACCATGTTGTCTCCACCCTGCGGGACGTTTGGATTATTTATCACCATTGATGAACCAATGACTAATGAAGAGATATTTCTTCATAAGATTAAAGCAAAGCTACCCTGTGTACCTTGCCCCAACGCTCGCAATCACCGCGCACAAACACACACTGATTTGACTATCAGTCAACTATAGGCAAGACTTGACAATTCTGACTGGAGTATGTAAATCCTTAGTTGGGGACACCCATAGATACTCTTAAAGGGTAACTTCAGTATTTTCAACCTGGACCATGTTTTTGTGTCTATGTGAATAATTGGGACAACATTTTTTGAAATTGGTCCAGTGTTGAGTGAGCACGCTGCAGTTGGCAGCAGCCAAACAGGGCTGCACCGGAATCCTTGCGGGCTATTGCACACCTTCAATGTACGTCAACTAAAGAGCTTGTTTTTGCTGTGTGTGTTTGACAACATTATGGAAAGAATCCGTATAGAGAGATCTTTTTTTAAGAGAAGAGATCATTTTTGTTTAACCAAAACAGTCACTGTATTGCTCTCAAAAACTTTAATTTTGCTCTCTGATCTACTGCTGCCTTGGTCATATTTGTGTTAATTCTGTGACCAGTAACTCCCGTGTTCTGAACAAGCAAGCTAATTATGTAACATTAGGCTAACTTTATTAACATAAAATATTTTCCCAAGTTCACAATTTCAGCTTACCACAACCACCCCAGTCTTTTTACCTTTGCAAAGTAGTTACAAGAACTGTCCTCCAGCCACCCGGAGCGAGGAGATAAAATCAATGTTGTGTTTTTGATTTGCAGTCTCTTGAAATTACATCATACTTTTCAATCATGATCATCCCTGCATGATATTTGTATGGAGGCAGGCAAAATGAATCTGGCGCTATGATCAGTTGAAATCTTGTTCTTTTGCTTTCTGGGAAGCAAGTCTGTAGGTC